CCCCCTAATGTTAGCTACGAGCCGCCACTGCAGGAATGGCTTACTTGCTATTTCTACTGGGGTTCCTTTTACTCAACAGTGTTGAATGGCTCTGCGAAGGGGGGGGGGGCTCGACTCCTAAGATGCCACCAGTGAAGAGTTCGTACACTACCGCCATGTGGTATAACCGTCTTCTTCAAGTCCAAGATAACAGGGACGAGGTGGTGGCTAAGTTGGCCTTATTCTGAACGCTGGGTTTCATTTTCGCAAAGCTATGTGATAGCGTCAAAATTCACAGCGAGCATCGGTAAAAGTTCCGGCTCTTCAGAACCTACGAATAGGCGAGTGAACGGTTTACTATACTGTCCGTAATCTCACATACATCTACGGAAATATTAAGAGCGATCACTTCTGAGATAAACGTCGCTTCTCTCTAGGGAGCTAGAACCGAGGCCTCCATCCATTCGGTATATGATTGTATACGGACAGTAGGAACTACGCGCACTTGCCCAGGCCGTGTAATTGCTCAGGCGGCTAGTCGCTGGTTTCCCACCGCGGCGGCCCGAATTCCATCCCAGGTCAGGTCATGTGGGATTTGTGATGGACAAAGTGGCATTTGAGTAAGATTTCTCCGAGTACTTCGGTTTCCCTTGCCAATTCTCATTCCACGGACTGCTTCACACTCATCATCTATCATCCGGGGCTGGTACAATAGGCCAGTTAGTCGCCGATGTACCACGTGGACCGAGTCTCACTTCAGTACAAGAGGGGAGGAAACCTACTTGCCTATACATATAATGTGATAAAGCTTTCGGTTATGGATATCGTCGTGAACAGGGGCCGTATTTCGCCAGCTTACGCCCATCTCTAATGGAGCGATATATTGTTCTATGAACCGAGAAGGGAATAAAAGCTGCAATACGTACTTCTGTTGGTCTTTAATTACCTTAAGGATAGTACAATTAACGTTCGAACTAGATACAAAAGGAGATGATGAGGCAAGGACATGAGTGACGTCTGCTTGAGAAGAAATTTTGTTACCGCCAACCAGGATGAAGGTGTCGAGGTCGGTTGCACTCATCTGACATGCGCCGTAGATTATTGCGCACAACCAGAACGAGTGGCCAAGAAAAACTACGAACGAAAGATTCCCATGATGTGAAACTTTAGCTTTAGCTCAGGGGCATTTGGAGGACATCAAGTGGAGTGGGCATGGAAGTAGCGAGAAACGCCTTTCCTAGTACGAATAGCACGACAGTAGTCATCAGCGTCATCAGGCCTCCTGACTTGCGCTGGTAAACCATCGGAGGACGTGACAGGAACCGGCTTGGAATAAACGGGTCGTAAAACACGAGGCCCAGGAGCCAGCGGAAAGAAACTCCAGATCCTTAAGAATAAGTGGATGAGAGGAACTACCCCAACCAGCAGGTCGAATGAATAATTTCGAATGGAGAAATTATAGGAACAGGAATATTTAAAGTTTAGTGGTCACTTCCAAGTAAATCGTTTAGAAAGGACCGTTCCAGACGGACTGCGAGGCTTGAATTGCAGAATATAGCTGTTCCTTTGCCTGTGGGATTTCCCACATCACTCCCCCCCCTCGCGAGAATTGATGCTCATAAGTTCAGACGAGCGGGGAAATGTATGTGGAGCCCGGAGCGTGTAGTCCTTGTAGGGAACTGTGCACGAAAGTAGCTAGGACTGGCCGGAAGCGGGCCATGTGCTGGCGGTGCTGTGCTGTGGTGAGATGCGCTGGGTCCACGGGTTCGGTAGCTGGAGTGAGTAGCTTGCCTGGGATGCTTGAGGGCGCGCCGTACACGAGCTCAGCTACCGATGCTTGCTGGTCCTCCTTGAATGCAGTGTGGATTCCTAGGAGAACCAGGGGAAGCGCCTCAGTCCACTGTTGGTCCGCGTGACACATGATGACTGCCTTCAGCGTCCGTTAGCTGCTGGGTGGCGGGCGGTTGTATGTGCGAGCTGGATGCCGCAGCCTCTGGATACTGCTGCCTGCGGCGTCCATCACGTCGAGGTCACCAATGTGGGATTTCCCTCAGCCATTATCTGCTGCAGCCACCCAATGGACACAACTTTGTAACTGCTCTTTGGGTGTGTTTCGGAGTAGCTGCTGACTTCTGTTGTCGGCTCTTGTGCTGACGCGCGTTGGACTTGTGCTTGTCTTTATCCTTACCATCCTTCCTTTCCGTTGGTGTTGAGTTATGGCAAGTTGAAGAACTTGTCTGGGCGCCATCAGTCACCACGCTGCGGCGGCTACAAATTTGGGGGATGCGTTCGGCTAAGGATAGGCAGCAAGATGTCTAGCTCAGGTCTGGACTGCTAAAGCTGGATCCTAATGAACCTTGCTCCAACATGGCAGGAATAACGCTGTTACTGCACACTCACACAATGACTACAACTGGCACACAGGGTGCTGACCTTGTGTAGCATTATACTTATTGTCACATTGATATGTAATTAACTGCAGATTCACTTTAATAATGTTAAACACATATAACAATGTTCACGTTGAATTAATTGCCGAAATTGGCTCAGATAGGTGCCAGTGGAGGGCTTTTGTGAACATGGTAATGAACCTTCTGGATCTGTAAAATGTTGGGAAATGCTTCAGTAGCTACACAACTGGTGGCTTCTCAAGAGGAGCTGAACTCCATGGAGTTAGTGTTTAAGATAGCCTAACTTGTTAATATAGAATTTCTGAGGAGCGCAGATTTTGTTTCAATACTTTGGAAGTTGGCTCTAGAATCTTTTTGGAACTGCACTGCTGTGAAGCCACAAGCTTATCAGAGCCTCAGCTTCCAGCAAAAGCTGCCTCCCTTAAACTCGCCTTATTAGCCTAGTTCAGAAACTAGGTGGTCTAAAAAATTTGTATCTCCCGATCAACTGAAGTTGATAACGCGATTTTAGGCCTTAAAACACTAACGGCACTTTGAATTTATGCTTGATGTATAATGGGGTTAGCGTCTGTAGCTGGCCCTCCCCAATATGAATTATACTCTCTTCAGAACATCAAAACATCAGTTTTTCAAAGCTCTGCCGTTTTATTGAAAACTGATAAAATTCTAGGGAAAGTGCAAGTGGCTGCATCCTGTTTGCACAGCAAGGAGACTATGTCACCATCTAAATGCAATCTTATGACATACGAGTATAGCTTACAATTTAGCAGCTTGAATGAAATATTCATTATTCTAATAATCGGTTACAAGAAGGAGAGGTCCAGGGCATGCAAGGTTCCTGACACCAGGAACAGGTAAGTATTCGCATGTTTAAAAGTAATACGTCAAACCCATCACATACTTTTAAAACTATTATGCCTCTTTCTTCAATAAGAAATGATCCCCAAACAATTATGGCGTTGCAAGTGCCAGAAGAATGAATGGACTGATAGATTAGTTGGGTCTGGAGAGAAATAAATGCTACAGAAAATAAACAAGCAACAGCATAGATTTAATTAGACAGTGATAACCTGTAGGGGAGAATGAAAGTGATGTAGAGCAGAACAGATCCATTTCTTAGCTGGTCCCATCACTGTCCAGATGGTCATAATGGGAGGAGTAGAATCTAGTTTCCTGTAAACAGAGTGTGGCTGGGTGGAAGGTAACTTGAGGAATCATGCATGAAAATTAAGATTCATTTGAGCAGGTCCAAGCCGAATGAGCAGAACAGAAGCTACTAAGAAATAAGAAACTGCAGCACTTTGATTGGAGACTCTTTCAATCTCCCTCCACATTTTGTAGTAATGAATGCGATGGTGATCTGTGTGTGAGTCAGATGTGCCAACACCACTGATATATTTCTTTGATTCAATTGTTTCCGCATGTACGATACAACTTCCTGGATAATTTTCATGCTGTTTACAGATATAACTTAAGAATATTTCTATCACCCTTTATTAAAAAGAAGTATGTAATTAAAAACATAAATTTTATTCACATATGAAACCAATATTACATTATAATTATGTACTTTAATTTTTGTTTGTCCAGTGATTTCCATCTGTAATTAATCTGAAGCACATCACTAATAATACTGCAGGGTGAGCTGAGGGCATGTGTGACTCTCCACTTTCCTTCTGTCATTGTGAAAATGCTTTCTATGTTCATCACCAACTGAATTGAGATTTTGTGGGAAGAAATCCAACTGTCAGTGTAAGGAGTGAAGGTTTAGTGACACGTTTCATACCGTTGCTTCATATGGTTGGATGATTCTATCCTGGTAGTCTGCCTTATTGTTTCTCAAGGAATTTTTGCAGACATCTCTGGATGCTGTCCGAGCTGCTAGTTATAAGGGTATAGTTAGTCTGGCTAATTACAAAGGAATTTTTTAAGTTTCAAGGCTGAGCACGATACTTCAGAATTCTAGCCTCCGGGAATGAGAAATGAATAACACTGTAAGTTTCAATTTGGTCTGGCAGGGGAAGAACTCATGGTAATGAGTCTGTACTGTTGACAAGTAATAAATGTTAAAAGTGTAAGAAAGGAGACTTTATTAATGAACTATTATCTTTGCAAAAGCATTGATTCTGTAAATAGAGAAACCCTGTGGCACAAATTAAGAGCGAAAAGTGTGAATGATATATTGACAAACTGTGTTAAGAGTATGAATGATAATGTGGGTTTGTGTGAACAGCAGAAGACATACAAGTACAGGCTTTGTCAGTCAAATACAAGGGTTGAGGAAAGGTTGCCATTTAAGTCCCCATGTACAAGGTGGTTCAAATATGACCGGGACTGATTTTTTTTTTTAAACATAATTGTCAGGCACTTACTTGCACATGTCAGTCTTCAATGTAGTCCCCTCCGAGGTCAACACATTTTTTCCAACTTTCTGGAAGCATCCTGATGCCCTTTCAATAAAGGCTTGTAGTTGGCAGCGTATCCACTCCCAAACAGTCTGGATGATGGCGTCATTGTCCACAAACCGCATGCCTTGCAAGTCTGATTTGAGCCTTCCGAACAGGTAGAAATCACTTGGGTCAAAATCAGGCAAGGCATAGGTGTACACACATTGTCCCCGAACTATCAATGAACTGAAGGCTGCCATCACCGAAAAAATCAACGCTATTCCATGGAATATGACTCATGGAGTCATGGAAAACTTCAGAAACAGGCTCCGTCAGTGTATGGAAAACGGAGGTGGCCATTTGGAAGATATTATTTTTAACCCCCATTAAAATAAAACTGCAGTCAATGTCCTTTCAAATAATAAAATAATTTCGCCTGCATCTTTCTTTATTTCTATTCCACGCATTTTTGAAATCGGAAAGGTTTATATGCCCCACCCACCACTTCCTCCGTGACTTTATCATTCTAATTACACGTGGAGAAGAGTACAAGTTATGAAGCTCCTCATTATGCCCTTTTCTCCAACCTCCTGTCACTTCATCTCTCTTCGGTCCAAATATTCTCAACATCCTGTTCTCAAACACCCTCAGTCTATGTTCCACCCTTAATGCCAGAGACCAAGTTTCACATAAACACACAACCACAGGCAAAATTACAAATTTGTATATTCTAATTTGTTTTGTGACAGCCGACGAGAAACAAAAGGTTCTGGACTGAATGGTAGCAAGGATTACCGGAATTCAATCTCCTCTTGAATCAGGTTTTGATTTGTTATCGTTGTTCCCAAATATCTCAACTGTGCCACATTTTCAAAGCATCTGTTTCCTATCTTTATGTCATGATTCTGCCCTGCATTTTGGTGGCGAGACAGCAACATATACTTAGTTTTCTCTGTGTTTACTTCTAGAGTAACCTCCTTACTTGTGTCAATTAAAGTCTGTGTGTTTTCCTTTATGGTATCTATATTATCACCCAGTAGATTCACATTATCAACATAGGCCAACAGATGATGTGTCTTGTTTAATTTCAGTCCCACCTGGTTTTCTTGGACCTTCCTAATGGCATATTCTAAAGCAAACTTGAAAACAGTGGCGATAAAGCATTTCCTGTTAGACATTTGAACTACTTACTTAATGTGTATTTATATTTGTTGCAGTGGTGTGTGTGGATACGGACGCCCTGCTGAGTTACTCTGTTCTGTGTGTGTACAGATTATGAATGTTTTGTGGTTGGGTCTGCTTTGTAAGGGATGGGGGGGTGTGCCGCTCTCTGGTGTAGAGTTCAAACAAGGTTTTGAATATGGGGATGCATGTCATTTATATGTAATTGTTTTTACTGATTTTATAAATGTGGTACTTTCCTGACTTATTTAAATGTCTGCCTTTTTTTTTTTCCTTGTGTTATTACATCCATGGTGTCACTTATGAATGTGTTTAGTATGTGCACATGCCTGATGATGACCAGGTGAGGCCAAACATGTTGTAATGAGATATATGAAAGATGAAAATAAGTGTTGCATTTAAGACTGCGGTTACACATATGTATGTGGGGCAATCCAAAAGTTACCAAAATTTGAATTTTTTGCGCGAATGATTATGAGTACATCGAAATACCGCTAGGTGTCTCCTCACACATCCTTCTTGGATCAGTGTGGCAAGCGGCATAAAGTTGAGTGGTTGGGTTTATTGTTGGTGAACGTATTTCCACTGTTGTGTTTTGCGATGGCTGACCTGAGAGAGCAGCGTGTCTGTATAAAGTTTTGTTTCAAACTTGGGAAAACCGCTGCAGAAACGCACCAAATGTTGAAGCAAGCTTTTCTGAAAACAGTTTAGGCCAGACACAAACTTACAACTGGTATAAGCGTTTTAAAAATGGCCGAACATTGACTGATGATGACGATTGTTCGGGACGGCCGTCAATGGGCAAAACACCAGAAAATTTAGCAAAAGGTAGAGATCTGATTCTGCAAGATCGTAGACTGACCGTCCAAGACCTCTGTAATACCTTGGGACTAAGTTATGGTACATGTCAACGAATTTTGTCAGAGGAACTGAACATGAGGAGGATTGCAGCGAAGTTTGTGCCATGACTGCTGCAAAATGAACAGAAGCAGCATCGCATGGAAGTCTGCAGGGAACTTCAGCAACAGCTTCAAGAGGATCCAAACTTTCTTTTGAAGGTTGTCACTGGTGACGAAAGTTGGGTTTATGGCTACGACCCTGAAAGCAAGCAGCAATCGTCGCAATGGAAGAGCCCTTCTTCACCTCAGCCAAAAAAAGCTCGACAAGTCAAGAGCAACATTAAGTCCATGGTGATCTGTTTTTTTGATATTGATGGGATTGTTCATACGGAGTTCGTCCCTCCTGGTCAGACAGTCAATAAAGAGTTCTATCGCAATGTTCTAAGGTGTTTGAGGGAGGACACGAGGAGAAAACGTCCAGAGAAGTGGCACACAAATGACTGGGTACTCCATCATGACAACGCACGACTGCATACGGCTTACATTGTGCAGGAATTTTTGGCTAAAAACAAAATGGCAGTTGTTCTCCACCCACCGTACTCGCCAGACTTAGCTCCATGCGACTTCTTTCTCTTCCCCAAGATGAAAATCAAGTTGAAGGGGCGAAGATTTGATACAGTCGAGGAAATTCAAGCGGAAACGCAGACGGTACTAAACACCCTAACAAAGAAAGACTTCTAGGATGCATTTGAAAAGTGGCAGAAACGCTGGGATCGGTGTATGCGCTCCCAAGGGGACTACTTTGAAGGTGATGGTGCAGAATAAGATCTAGGTAAGATGTAATAGTTTTTATTAATATATTTTGGGAACTTTTGGATTGCACCACGTAAAAGAGGAAATCATCATCCACTGGGGGAGAGGGAGGAATATTACAATGCTGAAGCAGGAGGGGATGAAACAGAGAAAATCAGTGCTTTGTTTACTGTGTTTCATTAAGGAGACCATCTTAGTTTGATTTCATAACACCAGACTGCTTTTGAGGACAGGATGGCTATGCTGCAACCATGAACTGATGACATCAATATTAATCTTTATCATCAGATGTATGTCTTCTACAGGGTCAAGCTGTGTACTCCAGTAGATCATTACCAATGGTTCAGAGGAACTTGCCACTTTCACCTCCAGTAACTTTCTCAGAAATGCTGAACAGGGTCATATACCAGAAGACGTTAAACTCAATACGAAGGTTCAGCGTCATGAACACTCAGATCTTACTCTGTAAAATGGGCATATTACTGTGAGCATCAGAATATGAAATATGAAACTTCCATTTCAAATTCCTTTATGTACCCACACAAAAAAGGGCCCTGGCAAAATATTCTGACCTTACATAGATGAATAATAGCAATATAAAATATCATATGAGTACAACAAATTCAAATATTTAGTGACCCATATTTTTGTTTGGAGGCTTTACTTTACAGGAAATAACAGGAACATGTCAAACAAGCAGGGAAATAAATAACACAACTTATATTGCTGTTTACCGTGTGCAGTCTTTGCTTACTTTATACTTTCAATAAATACCAGTACATGTAAATGCAAACTACTTTTATTTTATTGAGCTCTCCAGAACATACATTCATTCAAACTGAAGGGGGGGATTAGAAGATCAGGATAGCTACAGAAACAAATACAGCAAACTCACATTCACTTGATACCCCTCTTCTTCACTACCTTAGAACTCGTGACATTCCTCAAGGTTACAAGCCCACTGTAACACCATGCACATTACCATCTGAGATCGAACAGTCAGCCTATGACTAATTATTACCCCATCTCATTATTTAAATTAAAATGGTGACAAGACTGAGGATTTATAAAAAATAAATAGTTTGTTTCCATTTACATTAATACTTTCTATTTCATACATGGGTTCAGGTTCCACATTCCAAAAGACACAACCATGTAACATGACAGATTCTTAGTTCCCTAGAAGTACTGCTTATATTCTACATATGAGATGCATGTTAGTACTGCTCAATTATGCAACTGTTTTACAATGACAAAGTTAAGCTTAAAAATCAGATAATTAACAAAACCTATATCCTAGTCTTTGTATGTATGATTCACTTTGAGTACTTAATGATAATTTACAAATTACTGTGGTCCCCTACAATGTAGGCCTTTGCTCAGGTATATGCATGTTCATTTCTCAATTATCATTACCAATTTAATATTGGTAAACTCAGAAAATGAAAAAGACAAATCTACTACACAAATTGGCAACAATGTGTGAATGTGTGTGTTATATGAGGTAAAAATCAACTGACAGAAGACAGGAGATATATCTCACAGCAGATTGCTATAGTAAACACTGGATACTATTCTGAAATGTCACTCGATAATTGTTTATTTAGAGCTGAGGAGGATAGGAGGGGAAAAATAATACTAGGATTAAGCGGAAATATGGTGCACTCATGCATACGCACCAGTATTCATGAAAGAAAAACTGATAGAGCAGAGTGCAAATGGAAACAGCCAGATAAAGGTTTTGGAAATTGGTGCTAAGCCTAGTCGCCACTGATGCAAGAAGAGAGTTCCTAGTTTTCATAATGAGCACAGTACTGCTGGAAGTAGAAACACTAATGGCACAATAGTCAAGCAAGTTTACTGCGGCACGCATACAAGTGGTTACCAGTTAGGGTTGATATGGATATGGAATTTATGGAGAATTGCGTAGAAAGAACAGATGAAAGGTTATATCATACCAAGTTCATGAAGATAGGGATATTAGTTTTGGCAGGAAGTATGGACTACAACTTTGGCTTTTCCTGTGAATAACAGAATTAAACAAAACAAAAACAACATTAGATTTATAACAAAGTCAGATTTATGTTTTGCCATTTGGAACACTCTCCTACAAGGAAGGTTTCATATCACACACATGAAGATATTCTACACTCATGCATTTCTCATTCTCTTTATTGTTCTACGGTCCTTGGATTTGAGATTCTCATGGTGGTCATTATTAAGGGCAGTATCTTCTGGGATGTGAAGTTGTGTAGCAGAGTAGGAGTTTAACAATGTTTCTGAGAAAAGTCTGTAAGCTTCTAGAAGACCACATGGTATTACATCCAAGAAGATTGTACTTTCCAGTTCTCAAAGTTACTTAGGCATGTACAAGAATGATGTTTTCAGTTCAATACAAGAATTTGCAAAAAAATTTGAGAACTGAGCCAAGAACAGGAAAGTTCTCTCACAGTCCACTTTTCATAAGGCATTGAAGTGTTCTATCACATTTACTCAAATGGAAGATGATTACAGATGTAAGGCAACTGCACAATAGGAAACAAGACTGCATAGAAAAAGTATTCACTTAGGGTGGGTGGATTCCAACTGTGTCCACTCAGCACGGCGGCCATTGATGGGCCTATTGTACCTACTCCAGGTGATTATGATGGAGAATTTGGTGGAATGAAGATTGGCTGGGGAAACCGAAGTACTCAGGGAAAACCCGCCCCAGTGTCACGTTGTCCACCATAAATCCCACTTGACCAGACCCGGGCTGCCGCTGTAAGAAGCCAGTGACTAACTGCTTCAGCTATGGCGCAGCCATAGAAACAGTAACTCTATGAAATAATTTTATATACTACAAATGTGTAACAAAATAAATGTCAGAGATCAGGCCAACATGAGTGTTTACTGCATTAGATTTCTTCTTCAATTCATCAGCCTTTATTCAGCTTCACCACTCTCACTATGCTCACCATTTCCATCATCTGTCTCAGCTTCATTGACTTAACAGTTCCCACCTTCTGTCTCACATTCCCTACTCAAGCTCTCATGTTCACTGCCAATATCCCCATCTTCATTACACACCCAGAATTTCATCAGGTATACAGCAGTTTTTATACCTTTTGAGTAAAACTTCTGGAGAGATTCACCAGCACAGCAGTTCTATAGGGGGCTTTTTTACTGTCCCAGTGGTGTCAGAACATGCTCCCCTGCTAACAGCCATTCAGAATACAACTGTTTCAAATAATCCTTAAAAGGCTTATTCACTAGACCAATGGTTGGTGAACTGGGGTAAATTACCCAAAGTGGGGTAAAAATGAAATTCTTGGGGGTAATGAGGACTCAACAGACATAAATGAAATTATATTAAAAAAACGCGTTCCTCATTACGACAGAAATTTTTCTTCCAGCATATAACCATCTGTAACGATGGCTGCTACGGAAATTGTTTAAGAGTCCATCATGGCAGCGTGACGTCATCACTAAACACTTCTATAGATAAACGCACCCAGCATGTTGTGGACGATAGCATTAGTTGTGGCTTGGCAGCCAGCAGAAGCGCACGTCTTGTATACGTCATTTTGGCCTAGTCACATATTGTTTTATCTTACGCTCAAAAACTTCGACGATCAAGGTAAGATAGTGTCCTGTTAGCAAGGATTTACTATCAATAAATTCATTCATTCATTATTTAATAAGCAAGCGAAATGAAGTTTTTCATGAAACCNTCAGATGACATCAACTAGAAAACGAATATACCAGGAAGAGTTCCTCAATTATGGGTTTACACAAATAGAAGACAAAGGAATAATGAAACCACAGTGTGTTGTCTGTTTGAAAGTACTGACTGCAGAATCTTTCAAAAAGAGTCAATTGAAGAAACACTTGAATAATTTGCACCCACACCTGTCTTCCAAACCGCGGGAATACTTTGTAAATTTGGAAATGTCTGTCAAAAAACAAAGACTGAACAGCAACTTGAGAAGTACGTTCAATCAATGTTCAGCATCAAAGGCCAGCTTTGAAGTGGCCTGGTTGATTGCCCGAAACAAGAAACCACATACTATTGGTGAGCAATTGGTTAAACCAGCAGCTTTGAAAATGGCAGAGATTATGTGTGGTCAGAAAGAAGCTGCGAAACTAAATTCAGTGCCCTTGTCTGCAAAAGCTGTGAAAGAAAGAATTTCTATTTTAGCAGAAAATGTGAGGGAACAAGTTATTTCTTCAATAAAAGAGATAAATGCTTTGCTATTCAGCTTGATGAAACTACAGATGTCAGTAGTAATTCGCAGCTGATGGTGTATGTTCGCTACAAAGGTTTACATCCAATTGAAGAGGAGTTGCTGTTTTGTTCTCCCCTCCAGTTGCGATCTCGTGGAATTGATGTCTTCAATAAAATTAATGAATACTTTAATAATGCTAATTTAAAGTGGGAAGACTGCATTGCTTTGTCTGTTGATGGAGCTCCAGCTATGTTGGGTCATGTTAGTGGTTTTTCGGCTTTGGCGAGAGAGAAAAATAGAAAAATTGAAGTTAACCACTGTATGATCCATCGCCAGGCATTGCTTGTGAAACGTTTTGAACCTGCACTGGAAGCCGTCATGCATGATGTTATCAACGTTGTCAATGTCGTCAAAGGACATGCACTAAACACGCGACTATTTCATGAATTATGTACAGATGGGGAGGCTGAATATACAGACCTACTTTATCATACAGAAGTGAGGTGGCTGTCATGTGGAAATGTTCTGAACCAAGTGTGAGTTCTCAAAACTGAACTTGAAATTTTTATGGTTGATCAAAAGCATGTTCTCGCAGATAAGTTTACGAACTCCTCGTGGGTTGCACATCTCGCATATTTAGCTGACATTTTTGAGTATGTGAATGCAGTGAACAAAGAATTGCAAGGAAAAAACATCAAATATAATTTCAGCCAGAGAAAAGATTTCAGCGTTTGGATCAAAGCTTTTATATTAGAGACAGAAAGCAGAACAAAACGAGATTGCTGCCTTTTCAAGGTTGGCTTTGTTTTTGGAAGATTGTGAAAATATTACTTTTGACGACATCAAGGACACAGTTATAAGGCATCTTACCAAACTCAAAAAGCGGTTCGATGATTACTTTCCAGATCTTGATTCACATAATGTCAGTTGGGTTGTAGATCCCTTTAAATGTGAAATTGCTGATGTACCAGAAGAGCCTCAAGGTTTGGCAGAGGCACTTCTTGAACTTCGATCCAATAATGAAGCACGTATTTAATTTGAAAACAAAGCAGATCTGTCATATTTTTGGATGTCAAGAGCTGCAAATGCTTTCAAAATTGCACGTGACAATGCAGTCAAAAAGTTGCTGCCCTTTGCAACAACCTACCTTTGCGAACAAGGATTTTCCACTCTACTGAACATAAAAACAAAGCAGAGACATTGACTGGACCCCGAAGACAGTATGCAAATTGCTCTGACATCAAATTGTCCCAATTTTGATGTTATTGTATTAAAAATGAAACATCATTTCTCCAAAACCTGAAGTGAAAAAAAATTTCTAAGAAATCCTTTTGTTTCATAATGAGGATATTAATTTACTCGTATTTTATCACATTTATTTTATACTTTTTATTTATAATTGTATTCTCCATATAAATAGATTCAATAAACCTTTTGAATTTGAATAATCTATGATTTTCTCTCTTTCAAATCAAGGGGGTAACGTTGACGTAAATAAATATATTTTGGGGTAATAAGTAAAAAAGTTCCCCGACCCCTGCACTAGACCTACGAGCCATGAAGTGATCCCTCCAGGTGTGATCACAAGGTCAGTATTTCCTTCCAATGCTGAATGACCTTTACATGCATCCAGCAGATGCAATCATTTTTTCTCAGCAATACTCCTGATGTTTTTATGATGAGAGATTTTACACATGCATCATCAGTGCTGTCAACTGGAAGTCATAACAAAATACATCTGCATTTCATCATCACTGCCCTGAAGCAAAGTTCACAAATTCAAATTCATCCATAATTTCTTTAGTCTTAAAACACTGGGGAGAAAACTGCATATCTTATTTGGTGATGAATGATACAGGAGAATAAGTAAAGATGTGGCAGGTGGCAGTTCTGGTTTCCGTGTGGGTGATACCTGGTATTAGCCTGAAGGGTGATGATAATTATGAAGAAACACATGGATGTAACACAACCCTACTTTTATGTATGATTTGAAGTTTGTATGGCAAATAAATGTGCCAAAATCTTCTCAGGGGATCAGCCATGTCAATGTGATCTCCTCAGACTTCATCACCAGGGTCAATGTGGTGAGTGACCATCATTCATTGCAAAAACACGCTATGCTGACTAGACTCTCTAACCACACGGAGATGACATGTGACAGAGAACATTTCAGCTAACAAAACCTGACAACTAAGTGAACTGTTTTGCTTAAAAAGTTGGCGCAACAAGGGCATAAACTGAAAAAGAAACTGTGTACTTACATTTTCGATTGTCCAATTACTGGGCCAACTCAACATTGCTATAATATCTGTCAATTAAATGGTAGTAGTCTTCAATACCAGACACACTGAGTCATAGTCTGTCCATCAAGGAAAGAACTATACTTGAAGTGAATGGTTTTTCAAGTATGCCAAGTTACACACGTCACCTGCAAGTTTTCTGTAATTTTGAATTATACTCTGAATATGACCAGTGTCACTGTCAGCTAATACAAATAATCTGATGCCCCACTTCGTTGATATTTTTAGATCATAAGTTTTTAAAATTATTTTGTGCTTGAACCCAACTGTTGAATCATCTATTGCAATGTCTTTACTTGGCACAAAACTTTTCTGAAACTGTTTCTCTGTATGTTCTATCACCCCATGTACTTTCTTCGGTGGTATCATTTCCCCACATGCATCATCTGAAATATCTGTAAGGTGTGATCTCGGGACATTAAGTTACCAAAAAAATTTATCTGAGTTTTCCTGTCACTAGACCAGTAGTCTTTTATGTCAGGTAATGGTACTAGGCCCATATTTATAATTTGAAGAAAAAACACCTTCACTTAAGGGACAGACACACCAGACCACCTACTCCACATGGACCTCGGGCAATTCTGCAATTTTGTGTCTTGCATACCTGTCTGTCTCTATAACAATGTTATGCAAAAGTTCATCATTGAAAAACAAATTAAAATAATCCATGGGCTCTGCATCGGGCAGAAGGATAAACTGTGGCTCTTCATTATTAGTAAACGTATATGCCTTCCGTCTCTGGACGCCCATTTGTGACGTCTTCCCGCCCATCAACATGCAACGATACTTGTTTCACTCTCACTCACACTTTCTCCTTCAATTTCCAAATCCACCTCATCATCAGAGTCAATATCAAATTCATTTAACATATCACTAACAGATTCTTCATCCACATCACACAAGGGATTATATATCCGTTTCTTTTTTCAATCCAGAGGGTTGAGGTTCCGCTGAACATAAAAGCATGTTACTAACACGTTACATGCTCTAATATATAAATGGCATTTATACCTTAAGAAGCTCAAATTATGACTTCCAGATGGCAGAAAAAACATTTATGAATGTGCTGGCACATAATACAGTAGCCAGTAGCAACATAAGATCAACATATGACCTGAGAAACGCCAAAAGAAACTCTGTCAATCATATATTGACATTCGTCCGTGAAAACACTGTCACCATGTCAATTATAGTATATTGACATATGACCGGAAAGGGTTAAAGTAAAGATGACAGGAATGATTATCACTAATTTCAACCACTCAGCTGTAGGTGCAACAACATTAATGCCTAAGGCATGAAAAGAGGACATCTGTAATGAATCATATATACAAAACATATAACTTTTGGACTGCAATATCATGGAATCTCATATGTCATACCAACACTGTGGAGGAACACACTGCCTCCATCTTCAGATTTGATGTGTTGCTCTGACCTTGAAGACAGGGAGTATGTTCCTTCAAAAAAATTTTTTTTTCACTTATAAGGCTGCATAGTGTCACAATCCAAAAGAACACGATATGAACACCCACCACCATGAATATCTCAAAATGTATATCTGTCGTGCAAATCATGATCAAGAATCCAAAACCTATGTTAGCCATGTTATTCTCCTACTGACTGTCATTTATATTCTGGAGGATGTTAACACCTGGTGTGTATTTGTGACCACAACATTATGACTTCACACCCAAGTCACATTATAAACCCTCAGTCCAATTACACCATAATTGGAAATTCAATCACAAATAAAAATAGATGGAACATCAACTGGCCCTTTTCCTATACAATATTGTTAATGACAGCCTCTCACACTCCTTAATTCATACAAACACAATTATAAAATTAATATGGGTCAAATTGAGCAGTGATATAAATGTAGTTTATTACTATACTCAGGTAAAGACGGTCAAGTTTGCATTTTAAAATATAATACCTAAATAATTCATAAATATACAAGTGTACACATACACATATACACACACACAAAATCACTTTATTCCGTTCTTTTGGTCACTTAAATAGTATTCTGTGAAAGAACTTTGGGAGCATGCCAAGAACCCAGTCACAAAAAGAGAATTCACCCATATACTATGGTTAAGATGTATTATGGTTTATTACTTTCAACACAATTATTATTCATTTGGGATTGCACCTTTCCCACAGAATTCTAGAAGTATGACTTCCATAATATGCCACAAATCACTCTGAAAAGTGGAAATCCATAGTTCTTACCCGATTCTCTGTCCACTCATTTCCTTTTATGCACAGCTAAACCAATTTCATCATTCACCTAGAGTTCAAATATCAAGAGAAATGCCCTGGATGGTAAGAGAGAATCCCAGCCTCACATGTTTTCTCTCCTCCTAGGTTTTTCAGAGAAAATGCTACATAAGCCCTGTTTCATATCTGTTGCTGGGCAATCACTGCTACACAGAACATTTCACAGTTCTCTGCTTCAGACGCCACAGACATCAGATTAAACATACACTTCTGATTGTTCATAACAAAAGATTAATGCATTTAAGCTGAATAAAGTAACTTAAAATCAGCAGCAGATTCTTACAAATCTGACCAAATGACCTGGTTCGATGCATTTATGTTTGTGAGCCGCTATGCACCAACATTTCGCTGGAACTCCACCTTCAGCCGCAACTGAACACAGGACTTTTCTAACGCATGTATCCTTTAGCTCTCGTCAGTCCCATCATTGTTTTCCGAGTCAACAAATTCAACGTGTGTAAAAGGAAAATGACCCACCTTACCATTCAGCTCCCCCTCCCACTGCCCATTGATATTCATTTTTGTCACCTTGATGATGTCACCTACTTCCAACTTCAGTGCTGTCTTGTCATATGCATTCGGTACACGTGCTTGTTTCACTCGTGCATAAGCTGGCAGCTTCCTCTAACATATCACAAGAAAACATGGTTATTTAATAACAGTATTATAAGACAATAACTCATTCAATTACAGGAAAAAGAGCATATTATGTCAAATTTAGGTTCAAGTTCTCAGTAATTAATACTGTCACTTAATTACAGATCATCACAGAGAGAAGTATCAACCAATTCCATTATTTCTTCCCACATTTATCAATATAAAAATACATCTAATATTTGGACAAAATAAAAATAATTGTATCTTATATATTTGAAAGATCTTTGTAACTGAAATACAACTGAAACTATACAGAGACAAATAACTGGATGACAGTGAAAAGCAAGCAGAAAAAGACACAAAAGAAAGTAACACAGCCAAATTTCAAGGCAGAGTCCTGCCACTTGCGTGGACAGATGTAGGAAAACCATTCAAGATGTGAACAAGACACCTCCTGAATACAAGCGTTACTGCTCAAGGCAACTTCTCTGGTCAAAAATATGAGGTGTTCAATTACAACAGTAAGTCAGAAAGTATGTGAAAAATGTCCCTATCTGTTTTGTGATTGGCCTGACTACTGAATCCACAGGTGACCATCAGTGTTTCAGCACCAGAGGTATCAACATGGCCTCTCAGCTTCTCACATGTAGCAATGTGGAGCAGCATGCAGTGATCCAATTTGTAAGGGATGAAGGTGTAAGAGGCATGAAAATTAATCTAAGATTATCAGGACAGTAGGATGATGGTATCCTTGCCAGTGTGCACTGTAAAATTCCATACATACACTAAGCCACTTTCACAGATTTTTATATGTTCATGCCTATGCCCCTATGCTTGAACGGAATATATTGCTTCGAACCTAGGCATCCCCACAGAAACAGTGATTCATCAATACAAATGTTGATCGAAAGGTGAACTGTCCAAAAAGAATACAAATATTTAAAAAGCAAACGGAACCTCTTTTCTGAAATATTTTTTGAAAAAAAGGGAGTTTGAATGCTCTCCACACTCAGGCTTCTGCATGGCTCCCCACACCAGCAATATCTGTATTTCATTCATGTTGGTGTTTACCCAACTTCTGCCCCTGTTCATAGCTTCAGGTGAAGAACGCTGCAATGAACTGACTGGTATAAAACTGATTTGTTCTATAAAAGTTGTCACATGCTGTTGTACAGCATCTGTATAATAATCAATGTTTACTTGAACCCAATTCATTCCCATAAATATAAATTTGGTCATGCAGTACTGTGTGGAATGAAGACATGCCAAAATTGTTGCACTACTTTGTCACTTTCATACTGTGGCTCACTCAGGCTTGCTTTCAGATTCACTGTCAATCTCACCTTCAATTACCACTGAACCATTCTCCTTCACTGTACATTTCAAAAATATTAAAAAATTTTCATGAAGTCACATGTAATATTAGAATTGCTAAGAAACCTGCAACACTGCCAATATTTTTTTCACAGTAAGACAATCTGATTGAGCAAGGTCAGGGCTGTATCTTGAAACTGTAGGCACCTGAGTGCATTAACAATGTGGAGAGCAGTATCAGGACAAGCACCATTATATAACAAAAAAACATCTTTTGTGGGACTTGAGGTTCTCACAGTGATGTCTGAAGAGTTCAACCTTCTGGGATATGACACTATGTAGTCCAGTAGAAGTCAAGTGATGTTTTGGAGGGAAGTATATCTTAATCGTAAGGATCGAAGAATAAGCGAAGCAAGATGACAGAACAATGAAGCAGGAATCAAGCGGAGCTGCTTGCTTCATGCTGGTGTCTTGCTTGGCTTTTTCTGTGACCTTAAAAATAAAGGCAATACAATGTGTTGACTTTCACCCGCTACACAGTAATAAACCCCAGAAGAGAGAACTCTTCAAAACACTGCACTTCTCCATAACAGGGAATGTCAGGTGTTTATATTCCACACTCTGACGTCTGGTCTGGCTTGTGGCAGATTCATATTTTGTCACTAGTGACAGTGGGACTCAAAAGCTTTCACCTTCCTCATGATATCAATTCAAAAGGTAGTTAGAAGAACCTTCATATGAAACAAAAGATTCCCAATAACATAAACATAATACTCGCAGATACCCTAACCACAGTATTGTACATCACAACAACACAGTACCTTCTGACCTATAGTAAATTAATTCACAAGCCTACAGTGATCATTTCCATACATGTGGAGTTGTTTCAGAATCAGTCCTATGTTTATTGTACATCCCGATGTCGTGATAACAATAATTTGGGACAGACAATGCTGACAGTTTCAACATCATCACAATGTAATTCTTGTGGGAAAATTTGTAAATCACTCACCTTTTTGTGGTCATATAAGGTATGAGAGACGGCCCATAAATATGTCAAAAAGGGAAGTAAAACGGCTGTAATGAATGCTATAGGTTTTCTATGTGTATCACCAAGCGGCAGCATGGTCCATCTTCATGACATTCTAGGTAGCAGATGCACATGCTGGATTCAAGCCAAAATGGCGACTGTGCTTGAGGAGTGTAATACCAAGGAGCAGCATTATATTGTGCATTTTTTGTGGGCAAAAGTAAAAAAAAATATTCATAAAGAAATATTTCCTGTTCATGGTATGAAGTGTTTGCCACATAAAGCAATTCACAACCGGGTCAAGAAATTCTCTCAAGAACGTTCAAAGTCACGGATGATGCCCAAACAGGCGGCCCTGCTGAGATTGCGAAAGAAGCAACTGCTCTAGGGTGTTCCCATGGTTTTGTATACAACATAATGCATGATCATTCGCAGCTCTTGAAAGTGTGTGAATGGCGGGTGCCCAGAGAATTGAAAGAATGAGAAAAAATGAACAGAATGGGCATGTCCTTGCAACATCTCTTATGATATTGTAACGTGTTTCGTTACTGATCCCACTTCTGACACCAGTGTAACGTGTTTCGTTACTGATCCCACTTCTGACACCAGTGTAACGTGTTTTGCGTTACTGATCCAATGTAACGGGTTTCCGTTACCGAATCCCACTTCTGACACCAGTGTAACGTGTTTACGTTACCGAAGACGCCGTAGAGATGGTTAATTGGTTTATTTAACAATCTACAAATAACGGCTACAATTAATTAGCACACAGTTGCGGGGTTTCACACTTTATAACCCTAATCGCATTAATCTGTCGACACTGTTGCGGGGTTTCACGATTTATAACCCTATGCGCAAATCAGTTCACTCTGTCTTCAGTAGTAACACGTTGACAGTAGGGGAGCTTCGTATCACTGTATCACACGCTCCCAATTACACAATCGCACACACGTCCGGATCTTCTTACCGCGACGGCTGCTATACTCCAACTGTAGTCGGCTGGCTGTTACTTTATAACTCGGAATGTCTTCGGCGGTAGCCACACTGGAACTCGAACTCGAACTGATCGATACGCACTGTGCATCCACTTATATAGCTGCAGTGCTTGCCTGTGGCGTAATGAGTGCCACGTCACAGTAGGACGTTGATTACGGTTACGTTAGCGTTGCGCGTTACGTCACCGCG